TATAATTGTTAATTGCATATGCATATTAATGAATTATAATTATAATAAATATATTATATTGACTCAGGTCTGAGCCCCAGTCAAGTCAGATCTGCTACCATTATAGGGAATAAAGCGCTATGGTCTGTGGTCAACCAAACTGCTCCGTAAAAATGACACTTCTGCTGAAAACCCCAAACACCGTCAGAATCACAGCGCTCACGCTTACCAGCACGTGCCCGAGAAGTTTCCCTTATCCCAATTTCTATCGTTATCTCCAGAGATCATCAAAAAGACTCTTGGCCTTTAGTCCAAGAATAAACAAACGGAATAAAACAGCCCTTTCTCCTCGCTCCCGAAGTTCAGCATCTGCATTTTCCAGCGCATGGCACAGACGTGCAATTCCTCGTCCAGCCCAGACGGACGCCTGAATTAGCAGTCACCTCCAGATTATGTTATTTAAACCTCTCTTCCCCTCTCCAAGGCAGAATTGGAAAAATATTGCTAAAAAAAGGCTTGGCAGAGAAACGCAACTCAGTCATACTCTGCTAGAGAAGGGGTAAAGCACAAAGAACTGACTTGGAGAGTATTTTGCTTTCCTTAAAGTACTGAGCTTTTAATAGTAATGCGAGTTTCAAGGGATATTTTACGTGACTTGAGAAATATTTATTCCTCTGTTGCCAAAGCCAATGTATTGGCTAATGTGTGCTGGCTAGCCTAATGACATTAGAGCATTAAAATGAATCTTCTACATAATTAAAAGCTCAAAATGCTGCAAGTAATTTTTGTGTTTTAATTTAAACTACAGGACATTACAAAGCAAGCAATAATACTGCAAGCTGGAACCTGGCTGTGTAAAACCGTATTTACACAAAGAGGGAGTCCCATTTCTCTACTTTGTAAGGAAATTAATTCGTGTTATGAAGTAGCTCAGACTGGAAGAACAAGAAGTGCCAGAGCAGTGAAATGACCCGAGTAAAACAAAAATAGAAGAAGATTAACAGAAAAAACCCCCGGTGGCTGGTGTAGTGAGGGGATCTTTCTGATCTTCTCTAGATATTGGGTTTTATTTAAGATCCAGCATATTGACCCAGCGCAGCATTACACAAATATGGAACAAGGCCAATCTCAGCTTTTCGTTTAATTTAATCCCCAGCAGAGCATAGCCCTAGATGCTACTGATGCCACTGCACATCTACTGCTTGCTTATGAAAGAATAAACTAGAAAACCCCTATTTTAAACATCACTTTAAAAAAACAAACCAAAACAAAACCCAAATCAGAACCTACTGTTTCGCCTTTGTTTCTTGTCCAAACCTCTCCAAATTCGAAGGATATAAATAACTGGATATCTTTAAATAAACAACCTCAGCTTCATGACCGCAAAACGGGGTGTCAAGGATGCGCCACATCCAAATGCTTTCACACCACATGGTGTAATGGCCACCATTATACTCCCTCCAGCAGCTAAATACAAGCAATTAATTGATTTAACTACTTTTCCACAGTTTCATTTCCAGGGAGTCCTGAAAAAAAAGCAGTTTTCTATAGAAAATACAGCAAATCAAAAGCTCACGGTCTATTTTTATCCATTAAATGCTAAACCAGTGATGCGGGAGGACACTGAAACCGAAGACAGATAACACCACTCAGAGAAATAGCCTGGATTTTAAAAGGTAGCTACAGAAATGTCAATTTTTAGTAATTCATAACAAGTACCTGTGCCTCCGGAACTAAAGCACCTTATTTTCTGAAAAATCTGAAGAACAGCGAGATGAGAATGGCCGAGCTGAGCGAGGAGAGGGGGGAATTTCACTTACGTGGTACTTTGGCAGAGGAAAACCAGAGGCATCGTTAATTAAGGCCGGGCAGACTGAGGTGTGCGACACTCAGTGCTCTGAGCTTTAATGGCCCATTTCACTCACCCCATCTGGTCACACCACGATACAATTTTATAGTTGGAAACAACCCAACCCCATCGGTGTCCAGAAACCGTGGCTTGGGAGGTTCACCCAGAGGGCTTCAAGGTCTGGACGCTGATCTGGTTTGAATCCAGAGCAACAGGATCCCAAACCGACCAGGCAGGTCAGAGAGAGCAGGAGCAGCGTCCATTGAGTTCCCCCATTTGCAGCCCGTGGGAGCGCTGCCCTGCATCACCGGGAAAGCAAAACGCCAGCAGCTTCCATGACCCCAGCTGGCCATGGGATGGACATCCAAGTGGGCTGCCCCTTTTAGCAACAGTCAGGAGGCTCTTTGTCTCTGCAAACAAAGATCAGTATTTCACGATTGTAACAACGCTCATGCAACACGATCAAATTGTTTTTTGGCAGATATAAAGAGAAACACCTGATGGAAACACCACCCCAAAGACTCCTTTCCTTCGTCCTGCACTTTGCCACACACAACCACAGTGTTAAACGCTTACCTGGGACAGGGCTCTTGCTCGAGTTTAAACTCTGAGTCTCCGGGCTCTCCTCCAGTTGCCCGTCTGCTTCTGCCTCTTCCTTCTTTTCAGGATCTTTTACCTCTTCGCTAAGAGTAGTTCTTGTGCTCTCCTCTCCTTCTAAATCTCCCTGGACAACAGGGAGGGCACTAGGAGATGGAAGAGGAGGTGGAGAAGGAGCTGTAGTGGTAATGGCAGCAGCAGCAACAGAAACCGGAGGAGAAGGAGGCGGAGGGGTGGGAGGTGGGGTTGGAGGAGGAGAGGGAGCAGCGTGAAGAGCACTGGAAGATGGCACGCTTTCCACTTCTGCTGGAGGTGCTTCTGGGGTCTCCAACTCAACAGTCAATGGCGCGACATCCGGCTGGGCTACATCTACTACGCTCTCTGCAGCAGTCACTTTTTCACTAACTCCGTTCATTTCATTAATTAGATTAGTACTAGCAGTCACTGGAATATCACTAGATGCTACACTACTAGGCTCCTTGCACGCCTCGGCATCAGCCTCTTCCGCTGGCGAAGGGTCCGATGTGTCCGTGCAGGGCGCGGCATTAGATATAGGCATTGCCTCCTCTTTTGGGGAAGCAAGTTCACATTTCTCCTCTGAGTCAGCTGTGAATGGGGGTTTACTGGGAACGGTGACAACAGCAGCAGCAGCAGAAACAACTGCGACGGGGGCAGCTGGGGTCGGAGATGGAGCAAGAGGAAGCTCTGCTGGGGTTTCCACAGAGGTGGCCTCGGTCGTCTGGCCAGCTTGATCTTTCTTCTCCCCAGTCGGTTCTGGTCTGAGGACTGGAGAGGGAGGTTTTAATACTGGATCTGGTTTTGGCTTCTCTTCTGGGAAAAGAGAACAACAATAAAAAGGCAGTGTTACAGACAGCACATCAACTCCATTTGCCTTTGCTGTATTTAAGGCTCCTTCCCTTGGCTGTCCTTGCCTGCCACCCAGGAAGCTCCAAGGAAGACCCCAGAGGCACCTGACGCCAACCTTGGCATCTAAAGGAGAAGTCCTGACAACCTGAGCTGGCAAATCTGAAAACGCAACTGCTGCTTCTATTGGTGTGCATGTAGGCTTTGCAGTAAATTGCAATCCTTTGCAGAGAAGGCACATAAGCATTTTATATAATATGGATATTTTGCAGAAATTGCTGCTGAACATAGACTTTTTCTTGATGGAAGTTACAAAAGACAGAAATACGCTTTAGTTGGACTCTGCCTCAAAGGAGCCTGGGGTTGTAACAGGCACCAGTAACCCCCAGTCGGTCTCTGCCACTGTTCCTCCTCTTTGTGAAACAGGGAAACTCCTCCACAACTGACACCAGGCCATTCTTTTACGTACACCATGTGCCACATGAGATACAACTAGTTTATTTTTCCACCTGGTATTTCTCAGTGCCATCACCCTTCAGCACATCAGACTAAAGGACACAATCTCCCTTTTTTTTTGTTCTATATTTTAGCAGAGACACCGTTTTCCAAAGAAAGGAAACCCAAAAGGGATTTACGCGCAGCTGCCACTGAAGAACAGCATCGTCACCTCTTGATGTTCGTGGCCTAAGGGGATTGAGGAGGGTGGGAAATGCACGGTGAAACACAGCCACGTACCAAACCAAACCCAAAATACCATGAGCAGACAAGTCCTTGTACCTGTCCTGTGATCAGTAACAGCCTTTGCAACCCCATCCCTGCTATGGCCATCACCTGGCTCTCAAAGGGCTCCATTTAACACACTGATTCCCACTTCTTTTGAACAAAATGTGAGTCCCTAAAAGACTCTCTCCCAGTCCTGTAGATGTAGACCATAAGATCTTGCTTAGGACAGCACCTCCATGCCACTGCCAGGCAGATGAGACGAGAATTGCTCAAAGTCAATCATGCAGATGGCAGGGACTCAATGGTCCAGTTCCTAACAACACTATGAGGAGGTTGGCTTGATCTGTCCTCTGCTCCGCTCCATGAATCCAAAATACCCCGGGGCTTTCTGAGCACTGAGGCAATGGAGAATTCCTTCGGGACATTGCCACAACAGGAAAAAACAACTCTAGAAAATCCAGAGACACAAACCTCCCTGTTCAGATTAGGAAATCAATGGCTACATCCAACCCCAAATCATCAAAATTCAGGTAGAACTGAAGAGATGTGGCTATATGGCTTCGCTTGGTCTTTCCTAGCTCTGCTGGCTTTCCATCTGGGGCTTATTCAACAGACAGGCTGAAGGGAAAGGGTTTTTGAAGGAGAACCCATCTGAAACCACTTGGAGCACCAAGTCCCATCTTTAGGAACAGCTGGAGCAATGAAGAGCCTCACATCAAGGCATCGACAGCCAAGAGCGTTACAGGGAGGACCACGGCCAGAGCAGTAGTTTATCAACTTAATGAGGCACGCAGGGAGAGGGCTGTGGATGAGGATGACAAACGAGGAGACAACGACAGGAGAAAGTATCCAAACAGCTGATTTCGATTCTGAAGGCTCCGTGGAAGAAAAAGGACCCGGGAACTGGTTTATAAAAGAAAATGCGTCACCTCCGATTTCTGGAACATCTTCTGCAGAGAGCTCATGGAGCATTCTTGACATTTACAGCTCGCTATAAACAACTGCCTGGATATTCTCTGCCTTGAGTCAAATGAGATTGCTTAAAAAGAAAGCAGCATTTGAAGTGTCTACAAAAACATTCCTAGAGATAAAAAACATGGCAAAAATATACAACTGCATTTTAAACACACTTTGTTCTAACTACACCTTATTTGGGGAGTATGTTAGCCACCGATACAGGTTGTGCGTGCAAAAATTCAAGGACAAAGGTCATTTGAGGAGGGGAAATTTCTGAAGAACAATGAGCAGATTTGGTTAACGAGAAGTAAATCTTAACTTGACCACTGCGGAGAACAAGTCTCAAAGTCCTGGCAAAGGCACGTCCATCCCTGCCAGCTCTTACAGGAAGGGTCACGTGAAACAACACAGTTGGGGAAGGGAAAACAAAAATCAACGCAATTCATCCAGATTGAATCCGGTCCCTCGCTTCTCCTAAATACTCCAATATCATTGTGTACATTATATTTAGAAAGTATTTACTGGAAGCGCTGGGCTGTTCCGGAGGAAGGCTTGCTCCAGCAATACTTTTTTTTTAAAAGAGCTCCAGATAAATACAAATTTTGCAAAACTACACTTCATTAGAAATACTTTTACAAACTCCGCAGGGCAGTCGCTTGCTCTCTGCTCCACACAAAGCCACGACAGCTGGAAGGGAGCTGGGTCGCTGGGTGGTCGCGGTGGCACAGGCAGCCCCGAGCCCTGGACAGGGCAGATTTTACTGGATACAGGAATTTATCCCTGCTCTGTGGTGTTTATCTGAAAATAATCGCTGGGCCAGCTGCCATTTTTCCATCTTTTGTCCCGATGTGAGCGTTCGCAGCGATGCTGGCTTCGCAGGCAGATTTTGGAGCACGCGTTCCTGAGTCACGGTGTCAGCAGCGGGGCTGGGAGTATTCCAGGCGCTGGGATCTGACAGTAATCTGTTTTCCACACACCACATTCTGCATTCTCCACGTCTGATACATTGCAGGATTTGGAAGGAGGTTCAATAATAACACTAATAACAATGTTGTTATTAATAATAATACTCCTAACATCCCAGTGAACCTCCGCGAGCTGAGGAAACGTGCGCAGCTCTGATTTCATGCACAATTATTCCCCGTTACAACTTCTGCACCAGCCTGGCCTGCAGCCAGGATCCCGCACGTTCTCCATCAGCTTGACCTGAATTCCCCAGCAAAACCCCAGCTACTGCAGCCCGGCCGACACATACGCCCCAGGGACACCTACAGGAACAACAGCTAACTGCTTGTCCACAAATAATGCCGCTTTTCGGGGTATTACAGCAGCAATTCCTACATTCCTCCAAATCACACGTGAACTCTGAAGGCTGAAAAGCCAGCAGCTGCTTTAAAAGCAGCCAAACGCTTGTCTTTTAAAGAAGAAAAAAAGGATATTAAATGCAACACAATCCCAAATTCAGCCTCACTGATGACTCCAACATAAAAACACGGGGGGCTGCAGGGAGAGAGGAGAGGCTGGGTCTGGTGGCTCCGCTCCCCTCCCCAGCCCCGTGCACCGGCCAAATGCTGCGCGTGTTATAAATAACTGCAAAACCATCGCTGAACATCACAAAATGAGGATGGGAGCTTTACGGCGAATTTCAGCTGCTGCAAACGAGCGCAGGAGGCGAAGGGCACAAGGGAGAACGCGATCCCCAGGATGAATGCAGCAGGAGGGATCTTAAGGGAAGCACTAATACCAGTTTTAACAGACACTTGCTTAGGAAAGCCACACAACCCTATCTATGACTATTTTTATCTTAGAACAAATAAAATTTCAACATCAGGCACAAAGTGAAAAATGACTCTGATACCTTGGCACGTATGTCTGGAAAGATGTGTCCCCCAAGTCACTAGCTCGGTATAAAGAAATAAATGTAACAGTTTCTAAACTCCCTTCACCTTTAACTCACTCCATCCTGTGACCAACACCACGGCTGCTCCCCCCACCCCGCTGTCAGTGCTCTGCAATGGTTACATAAATGTGCTCTTGAGCGGTTTTCGGACTGGAACAAATGTTTGAATCTTTCTGGGATGGAGCGGAGATAAACACAGGAAAACTCAGCAGTGCTAAATCCCAGTGCGAGCCCTGATTGCTATTTAAACCAGCACAGCCAGACCTGTGTAACCAACTAAAGAAAGACCACTTACTCCCAGTTTACTTACAGTTGCCTGTGAAGGGATTAAGGTAAAGCAAGAGGGGGAAGACGGAGCAGCAATGAGTCTGTGAGCTATGTTCAGCCAGCTTTGACCTATGTTAAACCTACCCATAACTTCTTCAGCTGACAGAGACAGCTACGTTTTGCACAAAGATCTGGACAAAGCCACACGCTCGCTTCAAGTGGGAGACGCGACCAGACCATCTCAAAAGGTCCCTTTTTTCAACCATTTCTAGAGACTGCAGCAGTCTAGAGATGTGTCTGTGGAACAGGTTTCACTGAGGGAAAACCCTGCAGTCTACGTTAGGGCCGCTTCTTTTCCTCTTTTCTAGAGGTGCACTTCTCCGGGGCTCAGTTTTCCTCTAGCAAATACTCCAAAAAAGATCTCAAAGTTTGCAAGCCATGCTCTTGAGCAGATGCCCCTTCTCGACTCTCGTACGCATCGCTCCAGGCAGAAAACTGCACTGCTGCAATGCAGTGAGTAGCCGGGAAGCAAACAGCGCCGTCAACGCCGCATCGCAACACCGAGTCCCTTAATGCGGCGGCAGCGTACACGTTATTAACTACAGCTTTTTAATGGCCTTTAGGTGGCTATAAAATTTCAGGGGGGGAAGAGACTTGGCAGGCTCCATTCACCCTCCCGGGACACATCAGTTTAAAAAAAAAAATCTCCCTTCAAATGTATATTCTCTGATATGAGAAGGAAATGTAATCACTTTCAGAAACTTTTCTATCTGTGCCATTTCTACTAAAGTCAGCAAAATCTGCTATGTCATTTGTGAGACACTTTGCACATTAATGGTCTTTTTTTCTAATTAATATTGCCCACGTCCTGTAGGCCAGGATACACATGCAGCTGTGGAGGAGCCATAGGATGCTCCGGTTACGTGCCACTGCTATGGGTAATTGCTCAAATGATGCAAAACCTCTCTGGCTCAGAGCATTTTTCCCAACCACACACTTGTTGCTGAAGGATGGCATGTGGGTGAGCGGAGGTTCACACTTCTGGGTGCTCTGGAACAACGTTCAGGACATATCAGCTTGAATACAATTATTTTTAACCAGTTTCACGTTGGCAAATTTCAATTAATTCCCTTAGCAACACATGTTAAGATGTTCCACGGGAGGAAAAGAAGTCCCTCCCTCCCATTTCTGCTGCCTGCTTGTCTCCAAGCCAAAAATACTCAACTAAAACTAGAAAGGAGGAAAAAAAAATCACTAAAAATAATGAAGGAGGAAATATCCATGGACAAACCTTGCTTCGGGGCGCTGGGCGCAGCGACGGGGCTGCTGGCGGCGAGCTGGGCACTCTCCACAGTCCCATAAACCACAGGGCTGTGTTCGGGGACCTGGCTGGGCAGCTGCTGCGATTGGAAGTACAAAAAAGGGTGATAATGAGCGTGCGAACAGAAAAACTGGCAAAGGGGAGCACAAGCAGGAAGTGGGGAAACGGGAATGGGGTGGGAGAGAAACGAGAAACAGAACAGGGGGAAATAAAGAGAAAAGACAGACAGACCGATTGAATAAATTCAGAAAGTACACGGGAAAGGGAGGGACGAGAAGGAGGCAGGGAAAAGAGGAAAAAGAGACAATTTCAGTTAACAGC